GCAGTTCAAATCTCCCAGCCCTCCATAACAGAGAGATGAGGCACTCTGCTTTCATAACGACTGACAGCTTTGGATGCTCTGAGGGGCTTCTACAGGGTCACCACGAACTGGAATCTCTTTGACCACAGAGGGGCTTGGGTTCTTTTAGGGTTTTGGAGTTTTTTGGTTTTTTCATTTTTGTCCTAATCTAGGAAGTTCAGGACTAAATACACACACACATACATATGCAAACGAAGGTATTTGGAATACTTTTTAATTCTAGTTCCTTACTGAATTTGTTTCCACCCTTCCTTTTTATAAAATGACACAATGGGACTTTCGAAAAATAATCCCAAAATCACCTCATAAGTAATTCCTTACAGATGTTCCATCTTTTTTTGATGTCTCTAAAGTATCTAAAATGTTGGATTCTCTCCAGCAGTCATGCCCCACTGCGGCCATGGGGATGAAAGTGCTCACAGTTTTAATACCGATTTTCCTCACTATCTGAAAACACAGCATTCCTAGGAAACCTTTCATAAACTGGCATGGCAGAAAGCTAAGAAGTAATTGCCACTAATTTTATATGGGAATTTCTTTTCAATTTTATAGGGATTTTTTTTTAGCATTTTTAGCTCCCCAAAATAACCTACTAAATAATAACAGGTTCTTAAAACCTAAAATAACACTAGCCTATTGTAGAAGCAGGACTTATATGATAAAACAGAGCGTATATAAAGTTAATCGTGGGGATTTTCAAGAACTGAATGTGAAGCACTGGCAAGAGATGTTTGCTATGACTGAAGACAGTGCTACTATGATTACTAAGAGTAGTACTTTTATTTTGAAAGCAAATCCGTATAGAGCAGGTTCACAGAATATTTAAATCAACTTCAAGACTGTCTGATAAAAAAAAAAACTATGATAGTACCGAAGTTGGATTCAGTCAAGTTCAGTGCATTCACCTTGTTTTTATTGAATTCACGAAAATAAAAATAATTATGTGCATGTTTATGCTAAGCATAACTTCATTACAGGATCTTTTCTGTGTTTCTGAAACCTTAAAACACACCTTTCAAATGGATACACAAAATCAGTCAAGATAAAGCCCCAGCTATGGTTCAAAGCCATGGTGACTTGATCCTTGAGTGTGGTTCCCAGGGAAGGAGCTCGTGGGTTCTTACTGGGGGTACCTGCTGCCTCTGTTAATCACGTACTGTGAAACATACACTGAACACTCAATACTACTGTCTTTTTCCATAAAAGTGAAAATCCTCTTGAGACTTCTTTCAGTTAGTGAAAACAGGTACTACAAACAGGTCTTTTATAAAAGTGAAGTGGCATGAAGTGAACAACCTAACAGTAGTGATATCTATAAGACAGGCATTACTGTTCCTCTTTTAGAGAAGAAGAAACTAACAAGCAAACACATCTTAAGGTTTTAAGAAGAAATTAAAAGAGAGAGAATAAAAATAGGAAAGAAATCAAGACTCAGTTAAGGTGCTGACCCTTAGGGTTATATTCGGAGAAGAAAATCTGCTCAGTGGAAGATGATAAACTGACATGAGAAGAATGTTTTAGGGAGCTCTGGTCTAGTGGTAATGCAACCCAGATGCACATGGTTCAAATCCCATAGCTGCTCCACAGAAGAAAGATGGATAATTATCTCCTATCGATTTACTACCTGTGAAGACCTGCTGGAGGATAAGCTGAGTCGGTTCTGACTTAATAGTACATAACAACAAGAAGGGATGAGTTTATGAAGAACTAAGGTAAAACTGGGGGAGGGAGCAGGATCAAACGAAAAAGCTGTCAGAGGGAGTTCAAGGCTCCTCTACCTTTTGGAAACCACTACCTTCGTTTAATAAATTATCAAAGACAAGAAAGAGTATTCCTCCCACACTTCAGTGAGGAGTAGATTGCTCTAACCTAAAGATAGGAATTGGATAGCACTTTCCAGGATGTGGAGCTTTCAGATCAGAAGCTTCATTTGCATTTCCAAGCAGTGGCTGGAGTTGAAATGGCCTTTGGTTGTCTCCAGCACTTCTGGCCAGCCTGAATCCCTCTTCCGGCCTTCTCCTCTCTCTTTCAGCATATGGACCCCAAGAAGCCCAAGGTGGGAACCAAGTGCCAGCTCAGTGATAAGATATAGATGAGGGTCTGGCCTGTTTTGATTTTGGTTGAGGCCAATTGATAAGCAAGTAAGGAGCCCCACTGGCACAGTGAGTGGTTCAAGGACATGGTTGGTAAGTGAAGGGGCAGCAGTTCAAACTCACCATTAATGGTCCAAAAGAAAGAGGCAGAATCCTGCTTCTGTAAAGATTTAGAGCCTTGCAAAGCCTATGGGGCAGATATACTCTATTTTATAGGGCCATTGCAAGTTAGAATTAACCTGATGACAGTGGTTTGTTTTTGGTTAAGAGCCAAGCATTATCAATCATTTTCCTATCATGTAAATCCCTCAGGAACCTTAAGAGGACAGAGAGCTCTGGTCTGGGTCCTGGTAAACCCTGATAAATCTAGACCCATTATTGTTTCCCAGAATCAGGAGATACAGAGATCATACAAGGAGGGAGCTCAGGTGGCCTGTTGTTGTTGTTGTTGTTATGTGCCGTCGAGTCACTTGTGAAGCATAGCGACCCTATGTACAACAGCCCTAAACTCTGCTCTGTCCTGTGCCAGTCGCACTGTCTCCGGCATACCCATCCTGATTACCCCGGTCACTGAATCAATCCACCTCATAGAGGGCCTTCCCCTCCTGCGCCATCCCTCCACCCTCCCAAGCATGATGTCCTTCTCCAAGGACCGGTCTCTCCTCACAACATGTCCAAAGTATGTTAGACATAGTGTGGAATTGTGCTGCCAAGCCAAAGGCAGGCAGTGTGAATCCACCAGCTTCTCTGTGGGAGAAAGATGAACAATGTCCTCTTGTGCAATTTACTGTCTCTGAAAATCCACTGAAGGGTAAGCTTTGAGTAGATTCTGACTCAACAGTGCATAAGAACAACAACAGAATTACAAGTAACAGCGTTAACCAGGTCTTATTACCATAGGTCCTATGGACCCTCCAGTGAGATCTCTCTAGGTCAGTGGACTTAGTCAGGAAGTCTTGGGAGACATTGAAGTTCTCATAGGGAGATAAGGCTCCTTCTTCCCATGGAGGCTCAGCTCTCTTCATGTGAAGAAGAGAGTTTATCCATCCTTTCCTCTCTTACACTTGTTGATTAACATTTTTAGAATGGGGGAGAAGCATGTGAGGGCAACAGAAACCTTTGCTTTTGAATGCTATCTCTATTGATGAACTAGATAGTATGTTGTAGGTAAGTGTTTCATCCGTAGCTGGAACTTAATAGATAATGGTAGGTCAGTTTGCTCTGGTGGCCTCGTGGGTAGGGGGTTGCGCTGCCAATCTAACGATGGATGGTTTTAATCTACCGGCTGTTCCTTGGGGGGAGAAAGATGCGCACGCTCTTCTCATGCTATTTACAGCCTCTGGACCTCTGAACATTTGCTTGATAGTCAGCTATGAGTTGATTCCAACTTGATGGCAATATAAGTTGAGTATGAGAAATTTGCAATAACTGTTGTTGTTGGTGGTGGTGTGTACTGTAGAGTTGGAACTAAACCATAGCTTATCCTCCAGCAGGTTGTCAGAGGCAGCGAATTGCCCATCCTTCTCCCGCAAAGCAGCTGGTGGCCTCAAACCGCATGCCTTTGGGATTGCAGAGCAGCTTCTTGCCACTAGGTCAGTACTACTAAATTATAATTACAACAAGGCCTGGTCTCTGTTGTTGTGTACCACAGAGTCAGAACCAACTCATAGCTGACTCTCCAGCAGATTTTTAGAGGCAGTCAGTCACACAGGAGGAGATTCCCCATCCTTCTCCTGCGGAGCTGCTGGTGGGTTCGAACCTTTGGGTTGGCAGTGCAACTCTTTACCACTAAGCCATCAGAGTTTCCTATAGGACCAGCATATGGAATTTGCCCAGCTCTAGAAAAGGATACTTCTGCCTCTGTCAAATATTTTCTCTCATTTTGGAATCATTAATACAAGAAAGAATTTGGAGCTGGGATCCAAGTAATCCTCCAGATCTTCAAACTGTCATGAAGTTTATTCTATCTAACGTATTTCCTTAGGATTCCTTGAGTTTCTAGTTCCTAAATGTCTTCATTGGAGCAAAGCTAACTTGATCCTTAATAACAAAACCCACTGTCTCCATAAAGGGAAACACTTTTTCAAGTTATCCAATTGCTGTTTCTCCTCTGACATTTGAGACATTATCTGCAGCAGACCCTGTCAATTGCCTACCCAGTAGTGAGCTCCTAGAAGGAAGCAATGCAAAATGCAGAAAAGATGCCTCAGTTCCAGGGTATAAAGAATGTTAAGCTTAAAGCAACCATTATAATCTACACCCCTTTCTCACAGATTAGTTCAGAAGTACTTAGTTTATAAAGTTCTGGCTCATAGGACTTAAAAAAGATGTTTGTGTACATCTCTGCAAAATGGGACAGAAACAGATATGGGAGAGACTCCTGCCTTGTGACAGAAGGAGGAGGCTGGCTACTGGGTGGGAAGCTGTCAGGGTCCCTGCAAATAATGTTTCCAATGTCAGAAGGAGAAACAGCAATTGGATGGTTTGGATAAGGGTTTTCCTTCATGAGGACAGTGGTGGTTGTTGCTATTCAGTCTCATCAAGTTGACTCAGATTAAGTAAAGACATTTAGGAAATAGAAACTCAAATAATGTCAAGGGAACACTTAAGACAATATCAAGTTTTGACTTTGCCTGTGAAGATATGATGCGCAGAATAATAACTGCTATCTTAACTCTACAAGAAAGTCAAGAAGATAAAAGATAAGCTGACCCAAGTCCTAACATTGTTGAACTAAAGAACTTACTATGCAGGAAGGCGGGGGATAGGGGAAAGAGAGGGAAATTAGTCTGTTACTTAAACTCTTCAAAGCCCAAACCATCCTAAACAATGTTGCTGTTGCTGTACACCTTATTCATTTCCACTTACCTCAAATTTCACGCTGAATGGTGGTCTGATAACCCCATCAAAGGTACAATCACTGTCAGTGCAGTAGTTAACGGAGAAGAGATCAAGGATGCTATCCCGACATTGAAGAAAGTCTCCAGTTCCCTGGATGGTAAGTTCGCTTTGTGTAATATTAACGTTATAGCTCTTAGTACAGATGTTGTTAAAAAGTTTTGTTAAGTTAATAGTTCTTTCATATCCAGGATGAAAGCATGGCTCCCTGAAGATTCCAGATTTTGCTTCCTGAATGGACAAATGAATTGAAGGCATCTCACGTGAATACTTTGGGTACAGAAGGCGGTGGCCTGACTTCATCAAAGCACAGGTGGCTTATATTAGCCTAGCACTGACCATTGACATCACTACGTCTTTGCCCTGCTTTTTCAACCTTGGGAATAATCATATTTGCAGACCAGGTACCAGAAGGACAATTAAGTGGAAATGTGCTTTGGCCATTCATAGAAAACTGGTGCCAAAGGTGCCATTATCCCAGATGGTCCCTGAGTGCTTAGCATATTTACTAGAAATTTAAAAAGTGAGATTCTTAGTCTGGGTCAGTTCTACAGTAACCTGCATACTCCCAACCTCCCACTCCAGGCCGAAAATTAGACGCTTCAAAAACTGGAAGGTGCCTTAATTTATGTACAATAGGGCTTATCAAAATTATTTTTAGCCCACAATCCATATGTTTAAGAGAAGAAGGGGTCTCCTGTGGATAAGAGACTTTGTCGAACATTGGGGTTTAATGGGCTACTATGTAAGAGAGTGTTAGAGCACAGAAGGGCTGTCCTTGCAGGGAAGGCACAGGAGGATGTGATACCCTTGCCCTGGGTGTGTCTGTTGGGGTATGCCTGGTACACACATGGTACATGCATGACACTGTGTATGTCCAACTTTTCTTGCCTTCAAAATGTAGAAATGCATCTGAGGACAAGATTTTAAATGCTGGTTGATAAGCTCTATTTCCCCTTTGGTTTTTTTATCCTCTTCCCCTGGTCATTTCTAACAACACTGAGTTTTTCTGTGATTTGTAGGAAATGGAGATTTTAAAAGCAATCTTGAAGACCTTATCAATTGTATACTTCTTCTTCACAGGGTCCTGGTGTGTAATTCTCATTGTCAGCCCCATAGGGATGAGAAGTTATTTGCTAAGAAAATATTTGAGAAGTGTCCTTGGAGATAGAGCAGTAAACAAAGACATCACAGGAGATGATGTCTAGATGGAACAAATCAGAGAGTCCAACCAGATGTAGTTAGATATCCTGCCTGAAAGGAGGGCCCTATTTGGAACTACAGGAACAAATGATGTGGGACAGATAGGCAGCCTTCCTTGCTAGCAGACTGGAAAAAAAGGTTTGGAATCTACAGTAACCAACTTCAGATCAACTGCTGAAATAGAAAGAAAACAAGAGGCTGTGTGGGGTCTGGTGGCCCAGCTGTGGGGAGGGGAGGTCTGGATTTGGTTATACTTGCCTGAGCATCCTTGGCCAGTTTCCGAAGGAGGGCTTGATCTTTCCCATAGCACAAATAACTGGTGGTGAACACAGTGTAGTTCTTTCCGTAGAGACGAAAGTGCATAAGTTTGTCTGAAGAAACACTATTGGTGGTTTCGGGCACATAAGCGATTTGTGTGGAGGCCCCCCCAAGGTCCAAGGCTCCATAGGTTGCCGGACTCTCCGTTTTCCTCCAAGGTATGAATTTATAAATATTTTTCTGAAAAAGAGTACAGCCACTGGGTGCTAGAGGTCTTTGGTCATCCCCGTTCACACTGCTTCTTGGACTTGAGTAATTTAGAAGGTAAAGGGACAGAGGCATAAGAGTGAGACAAAACTCACTGAAAGGTCCTTAGTCTTCATTAAACCAAAAGCAGCAACTGAACCAAAAGCAGCAACTGAGGGATCTCAAAGACAGAGCTCTGACTGCAGCAACATAGAAGACGTAGAGCCTAGTGTCTGCAAACGAGAGCTCTGTGATAGATGGACTTACATTCAAAATGCCTACTCAGCTGTTTAATAGCCACATGACCCTGGAGAGATTAATTATACTATTAGGGCCTCAGTTTGAGGCTCTAACATGGGAGTAACATGTAATAACAGTGCCTGAGGTTTTTCTGAAGATGAAATCACACAGCATAAGTGAAGTGCTTATAGTATAGCACAGGGCATGTGGTACCAGATAAATAATAACTATTCTTATTTTTAAAGATATATTTAAAATTCCTCCTGTTTCCCACTAAATGTAGTCTCTTTAAAGTGAAGACATGACTTATTCTATTAATAGCAATCTTGGAAAAGAATTTTACCCCTGGTGACTGTTAAAATTATGGGGGGGGGGTGGGAAGAGTGAAAGGTGTGAAAATCCATTTGTTCACTCACTCATTCATCCATCATTTGTTCTGGGTAGTGACACAAGGACTATCCAAGAGAGCAATGGCAGCAGCCTCCCAGGGAGCTGCCCCAAGAGTGCTGTGAAATATTCACCTCCTTTATTTTTCCCATTAAGTAGTTGATGGTAATCCAGCCATAAGCACCTTCCTCTGAGCCTTCAATAATGTTGGCACCCTGGAAATTGAAGGGGTAGGAGTCGAAGACACTTGTCACTGAAGATAGGATCATGTCTGACAACTCCTGATTTTCCATCCTACACAAAGAAAGGGCTGAAGTTAATTGTCCTTGTTTTAATAGCCGTTGTTGTTATATGTCCTTGATTTGAAACAAAAATCACAGCTGATTCTCCAGTAGGTTTACAGACACTGTGAACTGCATGGGAGAAGACTGCTCATCTTCTCCCTCAGAACAGCTGGTGGACTTGAACCGCACACCTTTGGGTTGGCAGTGCAATTCCTTACCCAGGAGACCACCAAATTTCTCCTTTTTATGACTACTCCTACATATTTCAGTCAAAATTTCTTGGCAAGTCTAAGAAGTAAGGTTGCTATAATTAACAGAAAGATAGGGTCACTCCCACATAGTCAGTAAAAAGTCTTCCTTCTAGATGAGATGGTTGTTGTTGTTATGTACCATCAAGTCAGAACCAACTCATAGCTGACCTTCTAATGAGTTTTCAGAGGCTGTACATCACACCGGAGGAGATTGTCCATCTTTCTCCACCATAGCAACTAGTGGATTCAAACCATGTGCCTTTAGGTTGGCAGCGAAACTCCTTAGCACTAAGTCACCAGAGTTCCCTTTAGATGTGAAGCCTAGTCTTTTGACTCTCTCTCTTTAAACTCAAATCCCCAACCCCCTGGCAGGTTGGTCACCTGAAAATGCAAATTTTATTCCATTATCCTCAGGCTAAATAAATTTCCCAAAGCTCTTAAAATAACTGTGGCCATGATAACAGTGTATTACAGGTTGAGTTGTATCCTCCCCAAAATATGTGTTGATTTAACTAGGCCATGATTCTCGGTATTACATAATTATCCTATATGTAAATCCCAGCATCAGTGATACTAATGAGACAGGACCAGAGGCAGTTAAGTACTGATGTAATCATCCTTCATGATACGATTTTAAGTGTGACCAGACAATCAGTTGTTAGGGGCCTAGGATGGAATATAACGGCCTTAAACAAGCCGCAGCACTGGTCAGTAGTAAGAGGAGTTTCCCCTGGGCATGTCTTGTATCACCTTTTTCCTTACAAGAAATAAAAGAGAGAAACTAAAGACAGGAAACCAGTATCACCAAGAAAGAAGAGCTAGTTGCAGAGTATGCCCTTTGGCCCTGTGTGGTGAACCTTCAAGATCCAGGAAAAGACTGGTGACAACATTCTCATAAATACCCAAGGAACATTGGGCTTATGGATGCTGAAAGAGTCTTCCAAGGTTGTCAGAAATGAAAATGGGATGTATTTCTTTCCAACATCTAGATCACGTAGCATGAGTACCTTTGGGTAAGAGACTGCTGCTATCTTGTGGTTTTGTTGTTAAGTATTGTTGATTTGCCTTCACTTCATAGTGGCATTATGTACAACAGAACCAAGCCCTGCCTGTTCCTGCATCATCATCACAATTTGTAGTCACCGTATTAATCAATTTTGTCTTTTACACTAACTTTCCACTTTCCCAAGCATAATGTCTGTGATGTTAAGGTTTTTTGTTCAAAATGGTTATCTGTAGCCATTGACTGACTTTGCCACGTGGATGTGTGGGAGTATGTACACATGGTGTTTTAGCCTATTCACAAGGGGCTTAGATAGTCTCACCAATCCATGAGGGTATTAGCTAGTTTTACTATCAAATGAGTGGTTTAGCAGCAGAATTTGAGAGTCTCATCACTGGCAAAGAAGAAGCAGGCATCCAGTGTATGCCTGTTGGGGTCAGAGATTCTTGCACCAGACAGACCTACAGCATCAATGGCTAATGAAGAGGACCAGGGATCTAACATGAGGTGGAGCTGGCCATGGGACTGCTACCCCCTACTCCCCACCATGGAACCAGAGCTAAGAGCCTTTGCTCAAGTTTATTAGAGGACTGGGGAATGGGAGAAAAGGAAGAGCCATAATTGGCAGGACTGAGAGCTTTATAACACTGGCCTAAAGCCTGAGGTTCTTGGCTGAGGTGCCAATGAGCATATTTTAGACTCCTGACTGAGTGATGATATTCTGCTAACCTGAATTATAGCCTTTTGATTCCTGGTATGGTTCTGTATGCTCTGTGAGCTATCATATCAGATTCTGGACCAAGTAAAGCAGTAAGATTGGTCTTAATATGAGTAGAAAGAGGTGTGAGAGTATGGAAGACATGTCTGATTTCATGGGAATTAGTTTTATGTTGCAGATGTTGTTGACAGGGACAGTTCTCCTTTGTGAAGAAGAGCTGGTAGAAGTAGGTCAGATATGGTCGTCCCTACATGGCCCTTGCTCTTTGTTAAAGTCTCTTTCTTCAGAGACTAGATCCTTCTGATAACATGTCTAAAGTGTGCAAGGCTCAATATCTTTTTTTCTAAGGAGAATTTTGGTTGCAATTCTTCCAGAAGAGATTTGTTAGTTCTTTTAGCAGGTTATGATATTTTCAATATTCTTTGCAAATATCATAATTAAAAGGCACAAATTCTTCTTTGGTCTTATTTATTCATTCTTCAACTTTCACATGCAAATGAATAAAGTGAAAGTACCATGGCTAAAGTCAGAAGCACCTTGGTCTTTAAAATTACATTCTGGCTCTTTGACACTTTAAAGAGGGCCTTGGCAGCAAAGATAAGGTGTTAAGTCGTCTGTTGTTCTGCCATATTTTTCTGGCTTGCATGCTGCTGTAATGCTGGAAGCTATGCCGCTGGTATTTCAAATACCAGCAAGGTCACCAACAGTGGACAAATTTCAGTGGAGCTACCAGATTAAGACAGACTAAGAAGCAAGACTAGTAATTCACTCCTGAAATAACAGACCTTTGACAATCCTATTATGAAAGTGCACTGTAGGATATACTGCCATTACAAGAGCCCCTTAAGTTGGAAGGCACTCAAAATGCAACTGGGGAAGAACTCCCTTTTCAAAGCAGGCTACCTTAATGGTATGGGTGGGAAAAGGCTTTTATTCTATAATGGATCTTCATTTGCTAATAAAGTAATAAGAAACAGCTGCAAGCTTTCATTAATAAATAACAGGAAACTGAAATGTATAAAGAATGAAACTAGAAAAGTTAGAAGTTGTAAAGAATTAAATGGAACTAAAAAATAAATTATAAAGATCACTAGTGAGCTGCAAACTGGCTTTGGCCATTTTTAATCAGATAATTACATGATCTACTATGCCTGGAATGACAAATTGAAGAGGAATGGTGTTGCATTCAAGAAAGAACATTTCAAGATCTATCCTGAATTGTCATGCTTAAGTGATAGGATACTATCTATACACATACAAGAAAGATCTGTTAATACAACTATTATTTAAATATATACACCAGCCACTAAAGTCAAAGCTCCATCTGACATACTTTGGGCATGTTGCCAGGAGGGACTAGTCCTTGAAGAAGTACATCATGCTTGCAAGGGTGGAGGGATAGCCCAAGAGAGGAAGACCCCAGATGAGATGGACTGATTCAGTGTTTTGAGTAATGGGGATAGGTGTCTTAGAGACAATGAAATTAGCTCAAGAGCAGGGTTTCAGACATGTTGTACATAGGGTCACTATGAGCTGCAACCACCAACTTTTGCAGTCTGAAATTAATCAAACATGCAATCAAGATGCATTAATAATAATTGGTGACTGGAATGCATACGTTGGAAACAAAGAACAATTGTTGTTGTTATTGTTAGATGCCAGTTAAGTATGACCAACTGTGACCCAATGAACATCAGATCTAAACCCTGTCCTATCCTGTGCTATCTTCACATTTCCTGACACATTAGAGCCTGGAAGTCACCATGACAATCTACTTGGTCAAGAGTCTTCCTTTTCTTAGTCAACCCTCTACCTTTCCCAGCATCATGTCCCTCTCCAAGGAACAGCCCCTCATGCCAACATGCCAAAAGTAAGTGAGGCAAAGCTTCATCATCTTTGCTCCAAAGAACATTCAGGCTACACACTCTTCAAGACATATATGTTTGTTCTTTTGGCCGTCCATGAGATGTTCAGCACTCTTTTCCAATACCAAATCTCAAAGACATTAATTCTTCTTCAACACATGAACAGAGTTGAAGAGATGGAACACAGAATCAGTGAAATAGAAGATAGAATTGTTACCACAGATCTGACTGAGCCAAAAGAATAAAAAAAGAAGGAAACAGGGGAGCTCTGGTGGCCTAGTGGCAAGAAGCTGCACTGTAATCCCAGAAGCGCATGGTTCAAATCCACCACATGCTCTGCTGGAGAAGGAGGGGCAATCTCCTGCTGTACCAGTCAGATCTGATTTGACAGTACACACACAAAAAATAATAAAATAAAATTTTAAAAAGTGACAAAAAAGAAGGAAACAGAAGAAAACCTAAGAATAATTTGGGACACCATCAAGAGAAATAACATGTGCATCATCAGAATCCCAGAACAGGAAAAAGCAAGTAAAGGTACTGAAAAAGTTGTGGAAGAGCCAAGAGGCTGCGCAAACATCATATAGAATAGACCCCCAAAAGAAAAACACCAAGGCATATTATAGTCAAATTTGCCAGAACCAAAGATAAGGAGAGAATTCTGAAAGCAGTGAGGGAGAAACAAAGAGTAACCTATAAGGGAGAGCAGATAAGATTAAGTGTCAATATCTCAGCAAACACTATGAGAGCAAGAAGACAGTGGAATGACATATGTCTAAAACTCAAAGAACACAACTGTCAACCAAGAATACTGTACCCAGAAGAATTGTTCATCAAACATGAAGGAGAGATAAAAATATTCCCAGAAAAACAGAACCCAAGGGAGTTTGTAAAAACAAGACCAGTGTTGCAGGAAACACTCAGAGATGTCCTTCTTACAAAGATGCCACAGAAAGCAGGATGGACAAAAGTAACTAGCAACGCCACCAGAAAGAACTCAAAATGATAGCAATAAAACCCTGCCTCTCAATAATCACACTGAATGTGAATGGTTTGATTGTACCACTGAAGAGAAAAAGAGTAGCAGATTAGATAAAAAACCCAAAATCCATCAATATGCTGTCTACAAGAGACACACCTGAAAAATGAATATAAAGACTAAAAATAAAAGGGTGGGAAAAAATATACCAAGCAAATGGCAAAAGCAGGAGTAGCACTACTAATTTCTGATAAAATAAATTTCAATGCAAAAACCATCACAAAGGGCAAGGAAGGTTACTACCTAATACTTAAGGGTCCATAGAACAAGAGGACATAATAATAATAAATATCTATGCACCAAATGAAAGACCTGCAAAATATATAAAACAAACATTAACAAAACTGAAAAAGGAAATAGTAGTTGGAGACTTCAATACACCCCTCTTGAGAAAAGATAGAACTACCAGGAAAAAACTCAACAAAGATGCTTAAGAATTAAACCACACAATAAACCAACTCAACCTTAAAGATATGTATAGACTAGTGCACACACACAAAAATACCAAAACCACAGTATACCTTCTTCTCCAACATGCATGGAACATTCTCCAGAGTAGATCACATTTTAGGACACAAGGCAAGCATCAATGACTTAAAAAAAAAAACCAACAAAAAAAAACACAAAACAACCCACATAGAAATAATACAAAGCATTTCCTCAAACCAAAATGTTACAAAACTAGAAATTAATAACAAGAGGATAAAGGAGAAAAAAACCCCCATACATTTGGAAGCTGAACAACACCTTGCTTGAACATGAGACGAAATAAAAAATAAAATTAAAAAAAATAAAAAATTAAATTTAACAGTTTCTTGAAACAAATGACAATTTAAACACCACTTACTAAAACCTCTGGGAAACCGCCAAAGCAGTAATCAGAGGTCAATTTATAGCAATAAGCAAACATATTAAAAGTCAGGGAAAAATGAACATTGACTCCCTAGCCCAACATCTCCAACAAATTGAAAAAGAATGGCAAGAAACTCCAACACCCACTAAAAAAACTAAAATTATAAAAATAAGAGCAGAAATAAATAACGTAGGCATCAGGATTGCAGAAGGCTCATTAACAAGCTGTGATGTACAAGTGAAACTATCTTGCTTGTAGAAAGTGAAGAAGACTTGAGACACTTGTACAGAAGATCAAAGAGTATATAGCCTTCAATATGGGTTATATCTCAACATCAAGAAAACAAAAATCCTCTCCACTTGACCAATAGATAAGACTTAATCTTATCTCCATACATCATGATATATGGAGATAAGATTAAAATTGTCAACAATTTCATCCTACTTCTTTTCACAATCAACATGCAACAGTCAAGAAATCAAAGATGTTTCAGGCAAATCTGTTGTCCAGGACCTGTCCAAAGTCCTAAAGAACAAAAATGTCAGTTGAAAGGTTAAAGTGTACACCAAAGTAATCATCTTTTCTATTGTTTTGTATGCACTTGAAAGTTGGAAAATGAGTATAGAAAACAAAGAATTGATGCCTTTGAATTGTAGTGCTGGTGAAAAGTATTGAATAGACCATGAATTGCCAAAAGAGCAAACAAGTATGTCTTGGAGGAAGTGCAAGCAGAGTGCTCTTTATAGGCAAAGGTGAGAAAACTTTGTCATATATTTTGGGCACGTTGTCAAGAGGGGCCAATCCTTGGAAAAAGGCATTTTGCTGGGAAAGGTACAGGGTCAGCAAGAGAGAGGAAGACTTTCAGCAAAATGGATTGACAGAGTGACTACACCAAAGGGCTTGAGCATGTTGGAGATTGTGATGTCACAGGATAGGACAAGGTTCAGATCTCTTGTCATTGTCACCAGTGTTGTTGTCAACTTGACAGCACCTAACAACAACAATTAAACACTGGTTACTAAATAGATGTTGCCCACTCTGCCTGTAATACTCTTCTCCCATCCTCTAATAATATCATCCTATAAAATAGTTCATCCTGGGAAGGGCGTACGCCAGGGATGCATCCTATCTCCATACCTTTTTAACCCATATGTAGAACAGATTATCAGGGAGGCTGGGCTCTATGAGGAGAAATGTGGGGTCAAAATTGGTGGACAATTTATCAACAATCTGCGTTATGCAGATGACACAACCCTGCTTGCTGAAACTGAAGAGGACCTGAAGCACCTGCTGCAGAGAGTCAAGGACTGCAGCCTACAATATGGATTGAGGCTCAATGTCAAGAAGACAAAGATTCTCACCACTGGACCAATCGGCAGCATCAGGATGGATGGTGAAGAGATTGAGATTGTACACAGCTTTAGTTTGCTTGGCTCTGCAGTCAACAGTCTTGGCACCAGCAGCCAGGAAATTAAAAGGTGCCATGGGAAAGTCTGCTGTTAGGGACCTCTCCAAAGTATTGAAGAGCAATGGTGTCTCTCTGGAGACTAAGGTGCATCTGGTACAGGCCATGGTCTTCACAATCACTTGTTATGCATCAGAGAGTTGGACAATGACCAAGGAGGATAGAAGGAGAATTGATGCCTTTGAGCTGTGGTGCTGGAGAAGAGTATTGAGAATACCATGGACTGCTAGGAAAACAAACAGATTTGTCCTGGAAAGGGTTAAACCGGGTGGCTCCTTGGAGGCAAGGATTCTGAGGCTCCGTCTAATATACTTTGGACATGTTGTGAGGAGAGACCGGTCCTTGGAGAGGGACATCATGCTTGGGAGGGTGGAGGGACAGCGCAGGAGGGGAAGGCCCTCTATGAGGTGGATTGATTCAGTGACTGGGATAATTGGGATGGGAGTGTCAGAGGCAGTGCGATTGGCACAGGACAGAGCAGAGTTTAGGGCTGTTGTACATAGGGTCGCTATGAGTCACAAGCGACTCGACGGCACATAACAACAACAACAACAACATAATATAGCCAAGTGTCCTCTCCTCTGGTAATGATCTTGGCCTCCTCTCATCCTAGACAAGCTCAAGGATTCTCCTGTACCACTCAGCATTAATCTCTGATTCTTCCTCTTGGATATTAAATGGCTAAATCTGTGGTCCCAAATACCAGAGAATTGATATTCAATCTTTCTTTCTCTGTGCTCCCTTCTTGAGTTACTCTTGAAATGATGGGCAAGAGGGTTTTTTGACATGCTTCAAAATCCCACCTGTATAACCATTATGCAGGTGGAATGTTACTCATTTACTGAACTTGTCTTTCTTGGTGCAGATGTTTGGAGTGTATAGAATTTAGGTTCTTAGGGGTGGGGCCTCAAGTTACCCCTCACCCCTGAAAACACTCATTACTTTAGAGGTGCTTATACAGTCAGACTTAACTCCCAGTTGTCCTTAGTTTCTACCTGCTGCCTTACCTGAGCAACCGCATGCCTGCTGTAGCTCCTAAGTAAACAGGGGTCTCTTGGTGCTTGTACTTTGGAATTATATCCTTGGCTTTACCCATGCACTGAGTCAGGTAAACAGGTATATCGTGTAGCCGTAAAGCATATGCTGAGATTCCAGGACCTAAGAAAGAGGTAAAAGAAGATGGTAATCCTTATTTTAGGAAAAGGATAGTGCATATCCAAATATAAAGTTTTTATAACTTGCCAATTTTAGAACAGAGTATCAATATTTGTTGAGCTCATGTGTTGTTGTTGTTATGTGTCGTCGAGTCGTTTGCGACTCACAGCGACCCTATGTACAACAGCCCTAAACCGTGCTCTATCCTGTGCCAATCTTAGGATATATGTCCAGGAGTGCTCCTTAAAGTTATCTAAGGTTTCTGTTTGTTATTCAATAATTTTGCCACTGGATGGCGAGAGTATCATATACAAACTCATAACCTTCCTAGCATAGTCTTAGATTTTCAAGAGGACCTTATAGATTGTTACTTTTCTTAGCTGCCTTTTGATGTTCTTTCACAAAATTGTATATTTAAAAAAACATCAACTAGTTCCTAGATGACATAAAGAGAGAAGAGATTAAGGAAATGAAAATATGCAGCAGGCACAATGACTTTTACCAAAAAGACCATAGTTGCCACTAACTCTGATCGTGGCCAGTCCCTAAATGTTAGCGACAATGGATAAAGAGGCAGAAGAGTCAATGCCTTTGAATTGTAATGCTGGAGATGAGTACTGAACAGCCAATGGACTGCTAAAAGAACAAACATGGCTGTCTTGGCAGAAGTGCAACCAATGTGCTCCTTAAAGCAAGGACGGTGAAACTTTGTCTCACATACTTCGGGCATGTTGTCAGAAGGGACAAGGAATTTTGCTGGGAAATGTGGAAGGTCATAGAAAGAGAGAAGGATGTTCAAGATGGTCTAAGAGAGTGACTATGACAATGGGCTTGAGCATGTTGGAGATTGTGAGGATGGTGCAAGATAGAACAAGGTTCAGATGTGTTGCTTATAGGGTTGCTGTGAGTTGTAGTTGACTCAGTGACACCTAACAGCATCAGCCTCTAAAATGTCTGGAGTTTCCCTTGTTGGAGGAAACAGGAGCCTCCCCAATGGTTTTCCACTACAGTATCCTGCCTTTCTAGTAAAGCTATTATTTTTTCCAGTTTTAGAGCAGAACCTGTAGTCGAAAAGACTGGGGGCAAGATTTCTTAAGATTTTTTTTTAACACTTAACAATTTTGTTTAATTTTAAGATAAATACATTTTAAGTAGTTCTTAAATTATCAGTGCTTTACCATTTGTCTTTTATTTAAATACTAATTCATACTTTTAAAATAGCTTGCTTAGTTCATGTAATAAGGGGGGAGGAAATAAGCTTTAAATAATGAATAAGCTGTTTCAATTCAGAAGGTTTGTCCTTAAAGGACTGGTGACCTTTTTATCTAGAAACTTGATTAAATAAAAGAGATGACACTATCTTTTAGAGGGAGAAAATGATTGCATGTTAGGCCAAGCACTCATAAATCTGAGAAGAAAAACATCTGCTAGATTAAAACAAGAACATGCTAGGAAAATGCAAGGGAGTGGACTAAATAAACAGAAACCAATAAGATGAGGGCTTTGAGCTTTAATAAATGTTTAAAGAATTGTCTCTGTGTTGATGAGGCTAAATATTAGGGCACCAGGTTATGAAGGTTCCTCTATTAGAACCATCTCCTCTCTGATGCTTTCTTGACAAACTACAATAGTGGAGGCACACAATTAGTTTGGCTACCAAACAAAATTATTTTCAAGGGTCCAGATGGCCTGTCTGCCTAAAATGAAACAGCAGGTCCTTACAATGACAGATGAACCAGTAAGCACTGTGCCTACTTACTTTGAGCAAGGTCCTGAAGAGTTTGTGTTTATGTGCTAAACTGTAGTGAGAAATTTCACTTGACTTCCACGAAATCAGAAAGAATTCTGTGACAACATGTGAAGCATGCTGGGGGATGTGAAATGAAGAGGATCCCAGAGTGCATTTAGGAAGACCCCATGGTTTCAAACTAGTGGGGCAGAGAATTTGTATTTCTAACTGGTAGGCCAAGTCATAATCTACAGTTTAACAAGATCATATGTAAGCATAAGATTACCTGAGAATCTTGTTAAAATGTAAGTCCTAATTAAAAATATCTGAGGTAAAAAAGCAAATTCTTAGGAGGTAGTTGAGCTGGAATCAATCTACTAAAATCTTGTGTGATTCAGTTGCTGCTTGTAAGCAATTAATCATCTAAGTTTTTCTTGTCTTTTCTGTAAAACAAGATTTAAATGATCTCTGAGTTCTTGTTTCCAGCTCTAACACTACAATTTTCATCTAAACCTAAACTTCATTTTCTCTGCTTACACATAAACTGAAGGTTTTACACATTTTCTTCTAGGCTATAAATGAGAGAGCAATATGATTATTATCAGTAAGACTCTGGACCAGCAGTAACAGCATCACGTAGGGACTTGTTAGAAATGTAAATTTTAGGTTCCAACCCAAACTTAGAAATTCTGGGGATGGAGCCCAGTATCTACGGTTTGGTTAAGTGCCATTTTCAGGAACACAAGCGTTAAAAGCAACAAAGGTAAATATTATTACATATAAAATCCTGTAATAACAATCTGTGAATTGTGAATAAATAGACAAACAAATGGAACAAGACTGGGAATGAGTGACCATATCACAAACATATACAGATTTAACAAATGATCTATTTCTACCTATGTATTTATATGTGCTGCAAATGCATCCATCAATATAATAGAGTACATTGCTGGTAGGTGCCATCCAAGTGGAGTACAACTCATAGTGGCCCAATGAACAGCCCATCTAAGCCCTGCCCTATCCTGTGCCTAAGAGGCAAAATTATGAAATCTATTTAGTCATAATTTGAGGGATGGGTCGCAGGGCATGATGGATGAGGCCCAGAGACTAAAGAGACATCAAGGTCAAAGGGCATAAAGTTCACAGAGATAAGGTTCTGCATCGAATGTTGTCAAGTAATGTCTGAGGCCAAGTACTTGGATTTTAACAGGTTTACTTATGAGTCTCGTGGCAAGCCCAAGGTTACAGACTAGAACCACTCTAATAGGGCTCATTTGATTGTTATCCTTATTCAAGCAGCTCCTCAAGGCTCTCATCTGTGGAGCTTCTCTGAGTCAAAGGCTGATTGCAGATAGCCAAAACCAGGTGATTCTATAGTAGGTTCAAGTTGTGAACCACTTGTTGAGCATATGGGTTTCAATCCTTGGTTGGATCCCCATCCCTATCACTTAATTGCAATAGTAACTGTAAAGATTATGTCTTCTGTTCTCAACCTTAATTTCCCCTTCTAAAAAATGAGGATAAAAGGTCAATTTCTAAGAATGAAATGAGACAGCACATGTTCAGTATTTACCTAGTACTCCCCACACAAAAAGTGTTCTATTACAAGGACCTACAAATACTCAATTATTCTTAAGTTTGCCACTCTTTCAAATGGGATTATTAAAGACTGATGTTGACATTATAAGGATAATAAAATGACAACAATGGCAATTATACTGTGTTCTTGACTATGAGGCTACTTTTCCTCTTATGTTCTACTTGTTCCATTTCACCATACTTGGTGTTATGCCCAACTTCCTTCCCCTCCCCCTTTTCCCCATCTTACCTTTCACCTTGCAGGCTTCTATCTCATATACCAACCCTGTGTCATTCATTTTTTCTGCCGACCACTTATAGATGTACATGGTAGTGTGACTAGAGCCAGCGTCAAATACAATTCCATACTGAGAGTAAAACAAATCAAGAACTTAGTGTTACATCACTCTTCACTATATTCAGTTTGCAACAGAATGGAGACAAGCATAGGAGTTCACAAAAACACTAGGAGGAAGTATTGCATACTTGAGGGGAATACTGCAGGGTGCTAGAGGGCTCCCTGGAGTTGCCCTGATCACAGGAGGTAGCAGGACACCAATATCATTATCTTAAGACCTTCAAAGTGATTCTAATGTTATTCAGGATTCCTAACTACATGCTAAAGTAGCTGACAAATTATGGAACAAACATAAAGCCCTTAATCCAATAATCTCACAATAAGTAGTCCCAATTTATCTGCACATTGCAATCATATTGTAATCAACTGGAGATTTTCAACACTTACTAGTGCCAGCAATATTTATTGAGGCCTAGATTTTGTGATTTGATTGGTCTAGTATATGGCCTGGGGTTTGGAAGGGTTACAAAATCCTCAGATAATTTATATGTACACAGAAGTTTGGGAACCCCTGAGTTAATCTATGGATGGCTAAACAGAAATACCTTCATCTCTGAAATGGAGCTTGTTTTAAAAGAGAAAAACAGAAAATAATAAGTTTTATTTGTTTTTAGTGATGAATAGCTATACAGCTGTATTTATATATTTTCCAAAGTTATGTATTTTAACTTAGTGTTTCATGTGTTTATTAGAGGGGCAGATGAAAGGAAGAGTAAAGGAAGAAAAGTAGGGATGAGGGGAAAAAAATAGAAAAGAAGAACAAATTGGTCAGATGAGAAAGGGAGAAAGTGAAGTTGCCACTTCATACTGCATGGATATTTTCAGAAGTATTTTAGATGAGCTCTCAATCCTCAGAAAAGAAAATTTCCATCCTTTCACAATAGGCTGTGAGCTGATAGGATTTTGCCTCGCCTTTAAAAAGGCTTTTGGCTGCCAGTCTGGGTCTATTTCCAGGATGGGAAGATGAGTGGAAGGACAGGCTTCTGCAAAGGTATGTTTTCTGGTTTGGTGCTGAGACTAGGGTGTGGCTCTTGCTGACAATAGGCTTTGAGCTGATCAGATTTTGCCTTGCCTTTAAAAAGGCTTATTGTGAAAGGTTTTTGTGAATCTCCTGAATAAAACAGGCTTGGAAGCAGGAGTGACATCCACTTCCAAAAAGGCTTCTCTCTGGAAACTCTATGAACTTGGAGAAAAGATGAAAGTTTTTGTGTTCAAGACTTTTGTTCATAGGGTCACTGTGGGTCGTCTACGACTCTAAGGCACTTAACAACAACTGTATAGATGATAAATGAAAGTGATTTACTCAAGATACACAGGTGACAGAACTTGTCTTTAAATAATGTCAGACTCAAGAGCTTTTGGTCTTTATACACAGAAACAGAGGAGCAGGGTTTGCTTTCAAATTTCATATTACCAGTTTAAGAACTTTTCCTCCACTTAAGGACTTTCAAATGCCAGATGACTGAAATAAAATGTGCCAGTTCTAGGTGTATATCTTGGTGAATTTTGCATTGGTGCAAATCCATGAAACTTCCATCAATAATAAGACACAAAACATTTCTAGCCTCTCAAAGGCTTCCTCATTGCTCTCTCAATTTTACACAAGGGTAATTATTGTCTTCAATCAACATTGATAAGATTTGCCTGTTTTTTGTACTGCATAGGAATAGGCTCAATAGTGTGCATACAACATGCATATTATATGCATAAAGCACATTGTTGTTGTTGTTATGTGCCATCGAGTCACTTGTGACTCACAGCAACCCTATGTACAAGAGCCCTAAACTCTGTTCTGTCCTGTGCCAACCTCACCATCTCAAACACACTCATTCCCACCACTCCACTCACAGAATTGATTCATCTCATCGAAGGTCTTCCTCTCCTGCAGCGCCCCTCCACTCTGCAAAACATGATGTCCCTCTCCAAGAACCATTCCCTCCTTGCAACATGCCCAAAGTATGTCAGATGAAGCTTCAGAATCCTTGACTCCAAGGAGCATTCCGGTTTCACTTTCTCCAGGACTAACCTGTTTGTTCTCCTAGCAGTCCATGGTATATTCAACTCTCTTCTCCAGCACCACAGCTCAAATGCATCAATTCTCTTGCTATCATCCCTATTCAATGTCCAACTCTCTGATGCATAGCACATAATTGCAAAGACTAAAGCCTGGATCAGGCGCACCTTAGTCTCCAGCCTAATGTCATCTCTCTTCAGTACTCTTGAGAAGTCCCTGACAGCTGACTTTCCCAATGCAATTCGTCTCCTGATTTCCTGGTTGCTGTTACCAAGAGTGTTGACTGTGGAAACAAGTAAACTGAAACTGTTAATTATCTCAATCTCTTCACCATCCATACTGATGCTGCCAGTTGGCCCAGTGGTGAGAATCTTTGTCCTCTTGATGTTGAGCTTCAATCCATATTGAAGACTGCAGTCCTTGACCTTCTGCAGCAAGCACTTCAGGTCCTTCTCAGTTTTAGCAAGCAGCGTTGTGTCATCCGCATAATGCAGGTTGTTGATGATTCTTCCACCAATCCTGATGCCACATTCCTCCTTGTACAGCCTAGCATCTCGGATGATCTGTTCTGCATACAGATTGAAAAGGTATGGAGACAAAATACATCCCTGACGGACCCCTTTCTTGATTTTGAACCATCCAGTGTCTCTCTGCTCTGTTCTGATGACTGCCTCTTGTGATCCACACAGTAAAAAGACTTTGCATAGTCAATGAAGTACAGATAGACATTCTTCTGGTATTCTCTGCTTTCTGCCAAGATCCTTCTAATATTACCTGTAATATGCCTAGTACCACGACCTCTTGTAAATCCAACCTGCACATCTGGCAGTTCTCTGTGGACATATTGTTCCAAACGTTTTTGGATAATTTTCAGCAAAATCCTGCTTGTATGTGATAGCAATGATATTGTTCGATAATTTCCATACTCTGTTGGGTCACCTTTCTTTGCAATGCGAACAAATATCGATTTCTTCCAGTCAGTTGGCCAGCACATTATATTAATCTATTCTTCTGAGGATGGACATTTGAGTTCTTTCTAGTTTGGAGCTATTGGGAATATAACTGCCAGAAAGAAATCTTGTACATGTGTAGGTCTTGAATAAGCACACTATAAGTGTCCTGGGATTCTTCTCAGCGTTATCTATAATTTGTTATACACAGTCAAATGCCTTTGTATAATCAACAAAATACAAGTAAACATCTTTCTGCTGTTCTTTGCTTTCAGGTAGGATCCATCTGATATCAGCAATGCTATCCTCCTTCCATGACCTCTTCTGAATTCAGCTTGAATTTCTGCAAGTTCCTTGTCTCTATCAATTACTTTCTGGCAGTGATAGCCATTTTGAAATCATATTCAGCAAGCTAGTCAGACACTTCTGCATCTAGATTTGCACTGTGGAGAAAAATAAGAAATGACATGGGTGGTGATGGTTGCTGGCAGAGAAGGAAACTGAGTGAGGTCTGAGGCTTGTGAAACTGTGGAAACCTCCCAGGGTGGAGAATAAGGCTGAGGGATTATGCAGTAGAAAAGTTTGTTCTTCCTCGAGCAGGGCCCCTTAAGTTTTCCTCTCAGAAAATGTCCCAGTCACAGCCAGCATATGATGAAAACTTGAGAGGCAGCAATAGCAGCAAGCAGCCTTTGTCTGGAATCAGTACGTTCCGTTCCATCTGACCTTGTTGATGTGAAAGTCATTCTTCTAGTAGAGCCAAGGAACAAACTTTGCTTCTCTTAGTCTCTCTCAAGCTTTATGTAGTGAGATAGGATAGAGACAAAAGATTGTACTCCAGCTCTTCTTTGCCAAATCTCTAAGAGAGCAGAGAGTGTTTAACACAGAGATTGAGGACGTTTTACCTATATGTAAAACACACTGCAAGGGAGCTCTGGTAGCCAGGTGGCAGGAAGCAGTGCGGTAATCCTGAAGGCATATGGTTCGAATCCACCAGAAGCTCTGCAGGAGGAGGGGAAATCTCTTCCTATACCAGTCGGATCCGATTTGATGGTACACAACGGGGCGGACAGGGGTGGGGTGCGGGGGGGGACCACCCAAAACCACCCTAGAATGGTAAACTGTTGAAATGTACCAAACTTTTCTTAAGTTCTAAAATGGATTGCAGAACTTTTAAAAAAAGGTATCATTTGCTTCTTGAGGGACAGAGAAGTCTGAATTTCTGAAAATTCTCAGTTTGAGCATTGTGAGGTTTGCCTTTCATTATTTACAAAGCTGTTAGCCGGAGTCACTCAGTTTTCTGGCTAGGCCATCTTAGAAGTTCATCCATCCAGCTGTTTCACTGTATAGATAAGAAACTGCTCAGAATGGTCAGGAACTTGCATAATGTGTACAGATAGCTTGTTCCTTGCCACCTCAGTCTAGAGTTCAGGTAGCCACCTCCTTTTGGGTTTTTTCTAGCACACCAGCATCTTCAACTACACATTCCAGGGATCACTAGGTCTGTAAGGGTCTGAGCTAATAATGTTTCCAAAAGTTTGTCCCCTAATGAGATCATTAGTTTAAAAAAAAAAAAGGAAGGAATGAAGAATGAGATCACTAGTTAATGAATGCCTCAGAAGTGTGGTGGTGAAGAAACCCATGTAACCTTGTTTAAGCCAGCATTCTCCAGACTCTGACAGCATAATACTGCATCAAATAAAAGCTCTTTCTTACAGGATTCTTTGAGAAATACAATGGCTTGTGATGTATATCCCTTATTCAATGTGTAAGGGCATGTTAGAATCTGTAGAACGCGTTAGAGATACTTATGAGTGCCTTTTCAGGAACGAGTTATCCTCGACTTATGTCAGGGTTCCATTTTGATGACTGTTGTAAGTCAATTCTGATGAAAAAGGAATACTAGATTTTTAAAAAGTTTTCCATACTATTAATTTTTATTATCACTATCTTTATAAATCTAGTCTTTGAACATCTGCAAGTGAAAATAACTTTAGAAAATGATGTACTGTAAGACTGTATGTATTATATGTTGCTAACAGTTGTTGT